CCGGGCCTGCGCCCCCGCCCCTGCCATCACTCCAGTGCATGCGTGTGCCCCACTGCCTGTGACACCACACCTGTCATCACTCCAGTGCGTGTGTGTGCCCCACGGCCTGTGCCACCACACCCGCCATCACTCCAGTGTATGCGTGTGCCCCACTGCCTGTGCCACCACACCCGCCATCACTCCAGTGCATGCGTGTGCCCCACTGCCTGTGACACCACACCCGTCATCACTCCAGTACATGCGTGTGCCCCACAGCCTGTGACACCACACCTGTCATCACTCCAGTACATGCGTGTGCCCCATGGCCTGTGCCACCACAGCTGTCATCACTCCAGTGCATGCGTGTGCCCCACGGCCTGTGCCACCACAGCTGGGCCGTGAGGATTTTTTAAATCACCATCCTGCCCTCCCTGATGAGGAAGACTCTAGAAACAAGAGGGCCAGTATCTGTGTCCTGAAGGGGTGGACACTAACAGCGGTGTGGCATTTTGGAACACCTTGCTTGAGTAGAGGCTGCTCTCTGACACAGCGGCTGTGAACCGGAACGGACTGGCCAGGCGATGTGGTGGGTGAAGAGGCTGGGCCCCACATGGCTGGCTGTGTGCTTTGGGCTCTGGGCCTGGCACACAGGTGCATGCGCATGCATGTCCGAAACCCCGAGGACAGAGTGAAAGAGAAGGGCCTGTGGCGTGAGCACCTGCCTGGGAGATGCTTTCCTACTTTCTCTCCCTCTGGTGAGTGTGCTCACTCTACAGTAAATTAAAAAAGAAAAATAAAGGGAACCAGCAGTTAGCATAATGGCGTAGTCGACCGCGGTTCACGTCCTGGACCCGGTGGCTTAAAACTCACGCCGGGCGCGTGTGCGTGCATGCCCAAGATCCCGAGAGGAGAATGGAGGAGAAGGGATTGCGGCGTGACCATCCCCCCTGGGGGGTGATTTCTCGCTTTCTGTCTCTATGTCTCTCTCTGTCTGTCTGGCGAGCGCACGCGCCCTACAGTGAAAATCTCTCAAAAAAAAAAAAAGAAAAAGAAAAATAAACAAAGGGGGAGCACATGGAAATGTGAAGCCCTTCTGGGGATAAAAAGCAGAACTTTTTTTTGGAGGGAAATCAGTATTCGGCCCCTCTCCTGCACATACTCTTTGCCGAGGTTGATCTTGAAACATCTCTGACGGGGAAGCCTGATCTCCATCCACACGCTTCCTTTCTCAGTTTCCCTTCTGAATCTTACTACCATGATATGCTGCTCCTGTTGGTAGAAACTCCATAGAGTTTAAATAAGGGAACCTTTTAGGTGTGAAAAACTCACTAGGAAACAAATCTTTTTATAAATCAGGTAGTTGCCAACTTTGCTTTAAAGGATTTTAGGAAGTGCTAATATCAGCCGGTTGGTCATTAAAACATTTTTTAAATGATGGAGAGTGTATGCGTGCACGCACACATGTACACGTTTGCACACATGTACACATGCACACACACACAGAGGAGGGACAGAGAGAAGCACCTCACTCCCTTACTGGGATCTCATCACACCAGGACCCCTCTGCCCAGCCCTCCAGCTTCTCAGGGCCCTAGAGGCCTGTGTGCACGCCGAGTGTGTTTTTAGGCCAAGCCAGGGGTCCATGCCATGGTCAGCCATGTGATTTCCAGCTCTGTACCAAAGTGGCTGGGCCTAAAAAACATTTTGATGATCAACCATTATGTGATTTTTCTTTCTTTTTGTATATAACTTGGAATTTGAAGCACTCGGTAATAACCACGAGTTACACTCTCGGTAATAACCACGAGTTAAACTCTTTCAAGCTCCATATATCTGTCTATAAGAACACATTTTCTAGGGGCCAGAGGTGGCATAGTGG